CCAGGGGCCCTACATACACACCTCTGCGGTATCTCAGCTTATACATCCAAACTCCCTGTGACCCTCCAAGGAAGCAGTTTTGGCCAGATATCTGCATTAGATATATTCAAACAGACAACTGTATTTTAAGTTCTTTTTCCAGAATTATAGAAATTTAGAGTTAAGCAACAGTTAGAAATCCTAGCTTTAACCAAGATGATTCCTTCTCATCCTATGTAATCTGATTTTTAAAATAATTGTGTATGATAGGCTTGGCCAAAATATCATTGGATGGTGAAGATGAAGTTGCAGGGATGTCAAATGAGTTGCCTAACATCACAGTTAGTAATGTCAAGCCAGCCTCAGATTGGACCATTGAGATTCCAAATCCTTGCACTGAAAAAGAGAAAAAATTGACAATGTGTTGGTGGATGCTAAGCAACCAAGCATTCAGAAATGTTAACAATTCTTAGGTTAAGAAAATAATACATTCACAAAAAGTCTCCAGGGGGAAGCCAATATCAATATTGGGCATTAGCAGAAGAATCCTTATTTCTAAAATACTACTGGGGACAATTATCCAACCTAAGGGACAACTGAAGGAAAAATTAAATAAACTGAAAGATATTTTATGATGAAAGTGTATTGGTCAGTTTTAAGACTGCACACTAAGTATTGTCATTACATATGTGCTTGTAAGTATTTTATGACTATGCTGAAGTGTCCAGGAGCACTTGGAAAAAAATGGAAAAAAATTGTTTTCTGAGGGTTAAATTGTGAAGTCAACACAGAATAGATAGATCAGAGATATGCCGAGTTGCCTTAAAGAGATATACTAGCTTCTTGAGCTATAAAACTAAATTTAATCTAATTTAATATAGCACAATATCAAAAGAAAGACTATGCCCTTAGGAAAGGATTTAGTCCGAAAATGAAGTATAGACAAGAGAGGATCCCAGAATTAACAGTTGTCTGTCAATCCAAATATGGTCTGGAGAAGAAGATGTCTTTTTCAGCAAAGCTTGAATATTTCTATCTTAGTGGACAAGCCATCCCTAAAGTGAATATGTATACATCGGTCTGTCTTATCCTGCCAATACATGTTTGTTTCATTTATCTGTCTCTCTTCATTTTAACTCAGTGCTCTCTAGACCTTCTCTGATGAAGATTGTGCATCCTGTGTAGAACATTCTCCATGTCTGATTATGCCTGCTGGGGTGATGTAGATCATGTGATGATGATTTTGGGTGCCGTTATTTATCAATAAAGAGGCCCTTCTACTGTATATATGGGACTATTAATTCTCTGCCCAGGCTTCTTTCTTATTAACAGAACATTGATTTATTTTATAATATTTCCAACAAACAAACAAAAAACCCTCACATTTTCCAACCTCTTTTGCAGGATGCTAAGGCTGGGAAAACAGAGAAGTCAAAGGATTTTAGGGCAATGGTAATGTGGAGTTGTTACACCTTACCTGAACTACTGCTTACCTCTGAGCACTTAGTCATGTGAAAAAACAAAGCAAAACAACTCTGTCCTTTGAATAAGCCACTGTAGAGTCTGTTGATTGCACTCAAACACAGTCTTGAGTGACAGTCTTAACACTGTTGTCAGAAAGATGAGGATGGCAGGTTAAGGAAATCAGCAAAGGATAGTCAAGTGGGTGCTGTGTATGAGGTTCATGGCGACAATTGTACATAAACTCGCATGCGTCCTGATCTGACTGCTCATACACTAAACATGGGGGTGAAAGAGAGGACAGAGAAAGTGAGAATAAAAAGTACAAGTAAAGCAGGTATGAGGATAAATTTGAAGGAAATGTACAGAGTAAAGTGATAGGCAAAACAGGGTAAGAAGCATTTACCTGGAGTGGTTGATGAAAGCTGCTGGGAGCAAATGACACTTTTGGAAGAAAAACTGCTGAACAAATGGAGCATGTGCATTGCAAGGAATGGGTTCTAGGAATGAAGAGAGCAGCACATGCAGATCCGCACGGGAAGCCCATTTGGGGAGGCTCCTGGCTCCACCATCAAGCTTCTCCTGCCGCTCTAATCTTGTTGTCCTTTTGCTTTGCCTTCTTAAAATGTCTCCAACAAACAAAGTACATTAGCAAAGAGGCGTTTCTTAGAACTGGGAATAAAACATGGGTTTTGCTTCATTTCACTCTCTTCCATCTTTCCAGTCACCATTGCAGAGGGATTTATTACAGATTCATAACATTGTCTCCATTTTCTCACACACAACTGCTGCTTGACTGTTGTGCATCCCAGTGTCTCATTTTCCAAACCTTTCCCGGAAGTGAATTCTAGCAGAGTCATCTAAGGCAGTAATTATGCTTCCAAAATAAAAATGCTTTATTAGGCAAGGTCTATTTTTCAGTGATTCTCTTTACACTACCAAAACGTATGAAGCCTTATTTCATAATATTTGCAGGGGAAAAATACTGGTGACTAGATACAGCTGTATATCTGAATCATAACATGTATTCTTATAATTTAAGGCAATGCCAGAATCTAAAGTGAGATTTCTATTGAAGAAAATTCTGAAATATCCTTTTCTAAGTGACTTTTTAAAAACCTAGTTGCAAATAAAAAGTTCCCTCCAGATCTGGCGTGCCCAATTTTTTCTTTATGTGAAATTGTGTATGAAAGGATGGATAGGAAATACAAGACTGGTTAAGAGTAACTTGCTCCAGGAGTTGATGGTCCATGGGAACAGGGCATAAAACTCATTCTTTCCTGGTCCCCTTCTCATTGGAAGTATCACTGAGATACAGGGAAAGCATGACGAATATAGGATTGACTTTACAAACATCTATACTTTTCACATTTCAGATCCATCACTTTTTGGCATTGTGTAACTTTCTGCAAGTTACTGTTCTCAGACTTGATTTTCTCACCTTTAAGAGAAATTAATGAATATTCTTTAATTTGAAGTGAGAATTTAATTAGAAATTTATTTCCATAACTGCAAGAGGAATGGACCATGGCATAGGATTCCTTTATCTCTATTATTTTATTTTATTTTGGGTGGAGTTGTAGGTAATTAGGTTTGCTTATTTATTTTTAGAGGAGGTACGGGGGTTGAACCCAGGACCTTGTGTATGCTAAGCATGTGCTCTACCACTTGAGCTATACCCTCCCCTCTATTGTTTTAAATTTAAAGATTCACTCTCTTGTCATAACATTTTACTTGCAAGTTTCTCACTCCATGTTTTTATACTATCTTGCATTTTTAACCACAATAGTACACAGTCCCTATATCCTTTATATTTTCTTTCAGTCACCTCCTGTTTTTGCTTCCTTCCTAGTCATCTTAAATGTCATGGTCAAATTTCAATTAATCTTTTGCTAATTTCACAATTCCTTACTGGATAAAACCGTAACTTGAGATAAATCTAGCTGTGGGCTTCTTCTGCACCCTTATTGAGATTGTGGGAAGCTGTTATAGAAAATTACAAACTGAAGCTAGTGTCACTACAAAAGAATGGTAGCCCTCTTCGATTGGATCCTTAATACTTGCTCAGTACTCCAGTGTTATCCAACTCTTTCTCTTCCATTACGAATGGCAGCTCTTCCAACCTTCTCTGAATTTCCTAGGCTAGCTGACACATAAAGTATGAAAATAAAAGCGATAAGGATGAAAACCTTTGCAACTTACTGCTATTCATTTCTAGACTGTATCCCCACCTGTCCCTCCCTCCTCTCCTGTCTGCCATCTTATCTAAAGTGAATTCTTCCATCTGTACCTGGGATTCTATCCTTTTCTGCCTCTTCAAGGACACATTTCATAAATTATACCATCTCCTTCCCTCTTTCTTCAAATAAAATGTCTTTTTGTCTCAAAATTTCTTCCACCAAATTTTAAATTTGATATATTCACTTCTATCTTATAAAGAAAAAGCAACAACAGTAAAATTCCAAACTCCACAATTTAATCACAGATTTCTAGCCACATACTGACCTATATCTCTCTTCTCCTTCACAATCAAACACCAGAAAGTTGTATATGTGCACTGTAGCTGTTTCTTCAAATCACAATCATTCCCCAAACTTTTGCTCTCTGCCCTCTTCCCTCACTATTCCACTTAACCTGCAGTCTCCAAGGTAACCAATGACATCCTTGTTTCTATATCTAGAGCCACTTTTACACCCACATCTCACTTGAATTCTCAGCAGTATTTAGTAGTATTGATTATTACTTTCTGTAAAACTTTCTTCTTGTGGAGTTTCATGTGCGAGATGACAGCTTGAGCACAAGAATCCAGCTTACCTATTTCAGAAGTTTTCTTAGACCAATCGGAAATTTCATGGAAACAGAAGATAGGGTACAATTACAATGATAATAAATAAGAAATAATTTATGTCAACAATGAATCAGAAATTTCATAAAGTTGGGATATAGAAAGCAGACAGCATAAGAGTAATATAGAATATCCTACAGACATCCAGGATGAGCAGGGGCTTTGCAAGGAAGTCCAGAGATGCTCCAAGTTCCAAGTCAACAAAGTCGAAGGGCAGTAGGAACCAACCAGGTAATTAAGTTAGTAAACACCTTTAGAATACCTGAGACAGATGCCTTTCTTCCCTCTTCCTATTCTAAACTAAGTAACTAACAATTGGAACTTTTGACATAAAGATAAATACTGAGAATTCTTTCCTAAACCCAGAACATAATCTACCTGAGCACAACTGCTAGTGAGTTTTGAGGATGAGAAAGAAGTAGCATGGGGCTTGAGGATACTGATACCCTAGGTGAGGAGTTGCCAAACTTTCTCAACAAAGGACTTCATAGTAACTATTTTAGGCTTTACAGACCTTATAACTTTCTGTTGCAACTACTCAGTTCTGTCATAGCATAAAAGCGGCTATAGACAGAACATAAACTGATGAGCACGGCTGTGTCCCATTGACATTGTGTTATATACGTCAACCCACGCTCTAGACCCACAGAAAACCAAGGAGAGAAATGAAAATACATATAGTTTCATTCAGTAGTAAAAGGATTATCTTCACTGTCAAATTACTTACTCCTCATACTGGCAGAGTAGATGTCTAGCTTCCCGTTTCTTATCTGTGTAGCCTATAGCAGGATTACCTGTTGACATGCCCAAATATTTATATTAAAAATTCCAGTTGATCTTTCATTAAAGAGAGATATTGCCTAGAAGAGACCTATATTACAGGGGAGAAAACAAATCTTAGCCACATATACTAGCTCACATAGTATTTCCTTTATATTTATTGTTGAACATATGACATCTGAAAAAAATCAACATTATGGAAGAGAAGAAAAGAACCAAGATAAACTAAAAGAAAAAACAGCCGTGTGGGATTAGAGATAATTCAGAGAACAAAAGAAAACTTAAAGATAAATGTAATTGTCCTTATAAAAGATTTAGGTGAAAATTAAACTATTAGAATGATTCATTTTAAATTTTAAATATAAGTAAGTATGGAAATAAAAAAGACAAAGTCTGAATGGTAAAAAATAATATAGTTAAAGTGTACTGGGGGGAGAAATTATCTTAAGAGCAAAAAATCATCTGGAAAAACATAAAGGAATCTGACAGAATTTAGACAAAAAAGAAACAGAGATCAAAAGTACGAGGAAAATTCAATTAAAGAAAATGGAATCAGAAAAGCTCAGTACATGTCCAAAAGGAGTTTTAGAGGGAGACTAGAGAGACACTGATTTGCCTTATCCGATGTTCTGAATACAGGGGTAAAAATAAATCAGGTGTTTAATTGCTGTGCAAGAATGAAAAGAACCAAAACAGTAAAATTTTAGAATATTAAGGTTAAGGAGAAAATCCTAAAATCATCTGGAAAGAAATAAAATAAAACAATTATGTCAGATTTATGTTGATTTCAAAGAATCAGGACTCAGGAAGACATCAGACTTCTCATCCACAACACTGGACCCTAGAACAGTGGCTTCCTGAGTCTCAGGGAGAATGTTTTGAACATAGGGTTATGTATCTGGGACTATTATCAGTCAAATGTGAAGTTGAAATACATGCTTTTTTTTTTTTTACATTTTTTGTTGAGTTATAGTCATTTTACAAAGTTATGTCAAATTCCAGCGTAAAGCACAATTTTACAGTTATACATGAACATACATATTCATTGTCACCTTTTATTTTTACTGTGAGCTACCACAAGATCTTGTATATATTGTCCTCTGCATACAGTGTAATTTTGTTTATCTCTTCTGTATATGCCTGTCAGTATCTACCAATTTTGAACTACCAGTCTGTCCCTTCCCACCTCTCTCCTCCTTGGCAACCACAGGTTTGTAGTCTATGTCTGTGAGTCTGTTTCTGTTTTGTATTTATTTTATTATTATTATTTTTTTTTTAGATTCACATATGAGCGATCTCATGGTATTTTTCTTTCTCTTTCTGGCTTATTTTTTTAAAATACATGCTTTTTAATAAATAGAATGACTTAGAATTTTTACTATGCATATTTACTTTATGGAAAATAAAAAACACTTGAGAAAGTATTCCAGAAAATTAAAAGAACAACCTCCCCGCAAAAGATGGGAAAGGGAGGCAATATGAAATGCAAAAATAGTCTTATGAGGAAGACAGCTACTAACAAGAATTTAAATGATATATTCTTACATCTCTATGAGTTCAATCCCACTTTTTGATTCTATGGTATTATATAATGCTTATATAATCATGTAGTAAACTCTGTACAATGGTTAAACATTTTTTTAGTATTAAACTATAGAAATAAAGAAAATTACCTTTAGAATATATATATATAGAAGTGAATGCAAAATTTATAGGCCTTAATAATAAAAAAATAATAATTTATACCAAAAAGTTTTGAGAAGTGGAAGAAAAGATGGACAGACTCTAAGTAGCTAGTTTCCTCTTTTTTAACTCAGGGGAAGATAAATAATATTAAAAATGATAATTCTAGAAAAAAGAGATTATGATCTGTAACAAATAAAAATGCAAACTCTAGAAGAAATTAAAATTATTAACTAACAAAGATGTGGACGTAGAGGGCAAGAGAAATGAGAGGTTGCATAAACTTCTTAAATTTTTCATCTTTTATAGGTGAGAAGTAATAGAGATCTGAAGTTGGTGAATTCTATAATACAATTCTAAGTGTAATACTTGGCAACAACCTCCAGACATCCTAAAACGTTAAAAAAAAAAACTAAATGTGGTTGATTCTGGAGTAAAGAAGGAAAATTTTACGTCTTTAATTTTATTTTTATTACTTTTTTCATAGTTCCCTTGAATTATTTCTATAATAAGCATTTAAATGTAAATTTTAAATGATTTACTCATGATATATTTATACGATGGAATATGATGCCATTACAAAGCATAGCCTAAATAGCTATGAGCTGATAGTTAAATATAGCCACAATCTAATAAGTCACATAAGTAAGTCACAGAACATAGAATGCAGTCCCTAGTGTATACGTATGTAAATATACATAGAGATGCATGTGCTTATATATGCATAGACGATATCTGGTGTAATACGCACCAAAGTGTCACTGATGACTCCTGAGGATTGGGGTTTGCACCAGTGAAGGAAGCAGGATTCATCTCTTATTCAATGCACATTTCACTGCTTAGATCAGTTTAAAAGAACATATAGTTTATGTAATTGAGAAAATAAGAGCTATTACTCGACTTCCCCAACTGGAGGCTTTGGGTAAAATGAAGATTATCACACAGCACCCCTTTTTGGGAGAGGAGGAAGACTCTGATGCAGCTAGCTCTTACCAGGCAATTTCAGAGCAGTATCTGGATTATTCATTGAACAAACTTGTTTGTCCCACTAACATCATTGCATATATAAAACACCACCAACAAGCAAAAGAATCCAATAATCAGTTTTACGATGTGTACGTATAGAAACACATATTTATGTATAAAGAACGTTGTAAAGGGATGCACAGCAAACTTCAGTCTTAAAAGCCGCAGAGGATAGGATAGAAGTGATGCTTTCTTCATACATCCATGTACATTTTAAACTTTACTTTCCAGATGCATCAAAATGATTTTGTTGTTAGTTCTGTATTCATATGTAGTGCCATCTTTTCTATTGTTATTTTTAAAGCTTTATACCTGGGATAATTTTCATTTACTATTGCACTGAAAAATGAGTGAACCACTGCAAAGAAGAAAAAGACAACACCAATATTAATCATATATATTTGTTGTACCCTAAAAAAACAACCAATTATTGATCTCCAGTGATTCAGGTCCTGACTTGAGTGGCCTTTCTGTTTGCAAATGCAATTAGAGTCTAGTCAGTTCAATTTAAGAGTTCAGTCAAGTGAGTCATCTGGCTTAGAACCCTCCACACTTGTGAGCATCTAAATGTATTTTGAGAAACAAAGATAAATAAAATATCCCTCCACTCTCAGAGAGCTCCCAAAGAGCTAAATATATCATGTGAAAAATCTTTCGAGCTCTCCCAAGATTTAACTACTTCAAAATCTGAAAATACATCTATCCCCACAGGTACATTTTATCTAACTTTTAAAAAGCCATAAATCAAAACGCCTAAAACTCAAAAGAGAAGTGGGTTTTGGAGCTGAGAGGGGAAAATAATAGACAGAATACTTGTGATCCTTTATTTCTGATAGGTATCTCAAAAAAAAAAAAATTTAGTGAGCTCCTTGACCACAGGTGTCCTTAAATCAGGGCACTTAGATCCGCCCAGTTAACTATCCTCTGTGAGGAGACATGAGATTACAGCACGCCAATGAGGAAACCAGGAAGAATAAAAATAAAGCGTTCAGCTTTTAAAATTCAAGTTAGGGGTTTAGAGATGTAAATAAATTATCTTGGCCTTTTGTTTTGCAGACCCTGAATTACTTGCATCTCAGGTTCATACTTTAGAGCACATTTATTTTAATCCCCTCCCTTTGGATTTGTTTGGTAATGCCACATTTTGTTGGATGTTAAATACCGTATGTCTCACTTGGGCTGCAACATTGTAATGACAGGTTTTCATCTGATTGGCGAAGGGGATGGGTGATGGACACACTGTGGTATATGTTGGTGACCCATGGATTTCAAAATCTAACTTCTTTAAAGTTAATGTGAATAGTTTTATATTTGCTATATGTAAATATAATTTGAGGTGGAATTAGCAGTTTTCATTTCCATCTGACTGGTATGGATGTAATGTGTAGACGGGAAGATTATCTACCTTTGTGGTGAAAGGAGCTCCTCCTATTATGGAAAGTAATTTGGAGGTGGGCTTTTTTTTTTTATGCTGATAAAGTTTATTTACATTACATTCTCTCGTGTCAATCACAATGAAGTCCTGGAAATCTGTATTTACATATGGAATCCAATACATTCCTGGATTTACATACAGAATCCAATACATTCCTGGGAGAATTTTTTTTTTTATTTTAACAAACACAAAAATCAAAATACAATGAATATGCTATCTGGGTAGCTTAATGAACATCTTTCTTTTCTGGAGTCTCATCTGGGACTTCAGAGTGAACTGTATTCAGGGGCTGCCAGTGGCAATTCATGAGAGAGTTGTAGATTTCTTCACTTTCCTCCATAAATTCTTTGTTTAACTCCTCAATAATCAAATGGAGATTTGGATCTTCTAGCGAAAATAATTTGGAGTTGGTAGCACTGTGGAAGACAGGAGTGTGATGGAGAGAGAGAGCTTATAGTAGATACTGGCCTTATTATCATTTAAGCTGGATGTAAAATAATTTTTAAAATTTTGGAGGAGGAAAATGATGGAGACAGGATATTGGAACAAAAGGCTTTTTATGTCTGTGATTTAAGAGATTGATTGGAACCTTATTTATGGAAGAATGTGAGGGTGTAACTGGGTTTGTAAAGAAGAGATCTTAGAAAATTATTTATCTTAAGACAAATCACCAAACCTGAAACTCAGACCTGTATGAAAATAATACAAAGGAATGAGGAATCAGGGGTGTAAAAGTGCGCGAATGATGAGTATAGAATAGCTCTGTTTTAGAAAACCAATGATGTGATCTATTCTTTACATTCAATTCAGTAGGGAAGGTTTCTCAGAGCTAATCTTTTCTGCCAAATCCAGAAAATAATTGACTCATATATAATTACATACACAAGAATACACCAGAAAAAAGAAAAACAAATTCCTGACAACACTGGACTGATGAGATCAAAAGATTTTCTGAAATTAAAATAGGATTACTAATTGAAACATGTCATTAATCATATTTGCAGTGTCTTTGCACATCGATGGTAATTAATTATGTTGAATTCTTTGTGAATCTGATCACTCGCTTTATAGTACAGTCAGTGTAAGACTAGTAACTGTAACATTTCAGAGTTTATATTTTAATGATAAGATAGAAAGCCTATAATGGTGAAGTAGTTTTTTTGTTTTTTTCCCTGAAAGTGATTAACCAGCAATAGCCATGGTTTCAACCATATCAGGGGATGTTAGACCTTACCTTGCTGAATTATGTATTAAAATTTTGTACTTTTATTCTCATTTTAATATTTTGATTATTCATAAAACATCCTGATGCCTTTTTTTATTATAGCACTAAAAATCACTCAGTTCAGCAACACTTCATTACACTTAGTGTTTCTTGGTCTGGAAATTATGTACTAAGGCTGTTTCTATATCCAAAGTTAGGTTATTCACGAAGTTTCTATTATAAAGGCAGCAACTATACGATCAATCTATTTATTTCACTGGGCTACATATAATTAAGTTTCAAATTGATCTCTAAAATGTCAGGTATAGTAGTACCTGCAAATAAAGATTGTGTTTCTTCTTGATTGGATCTAGTTTAGTGATACCAGGACCTGTGCTTCTAAAGAATATGCAGTTCTTTTTTTTCTACTTTTCTTTTTGAAGGATCTTCTCAAGGACTTAGAAGTCTCAAATCCTATGATTGCACTGCCTTCAAAGATTCAATACTCTGTTAAGTAACTGTAGTTCATATTATTATTATTTTAATAGATGCAATTAATATAAACATATTTTAAGAATGAAATGTTGAGAATTGGGAAAAAGAGATGGGAATAGCTTTGTGAAACTTATTATCTAACTTGCGAAAAGTCGTAGTTAGCTTCATTTTATCTCAGCTATATAATTCTAATAGTATGAATTGCTGAATATTTTATGAGTAAGATAATTAAATATAGCTGAAAGATTTTACTGGATTTCCAGAATATTGTCGATGCTCAGAAGAATACAATTTGTAAGGTATATATCTTTCCTTTAAGAGGCTTTAAATTCTGTGAAAAATTTCTTTTAAATTATTGTGACTAAGATAGTGTTGAAATTGAAATTAATTTAAGAGTTCAAACACCTGCTTGTAAATGTAAGATGTAAAATTCTTCCATTTTGTTTGTCAAAAATGAGTCAGAGTAATGTTAACATTATTTGTCTGGTATTTGATTAAAGTCATTATTCAATACAGTTATGTTCTTTCGATGCTCTATATCAACAGTCGCCACTCCTGCACAGAATAGGATTAATGTGCTATTTTGGGTCAGTGATTCAACATTTATTTCTTCATATTTTATTTTAAAAAAAACTTCTAGTGTCTTAGAGAATGTTACTGAATAGTCTGCATTTTTGTTATCGATTAGTATGTTACTTTATTTTAAAATTGCAATCTGTGTTTATTTTTATCTTTAACTTTGTAAGGAAGAGGCCATAAACACTATATAAGATGTGTGCATAAATATAAGCCTTTTTACTCTCATTTAATAGTATATTTATCCATGTAAACATTACAACCTTTTCAAAATATGCATCCATAATTTTAAACTAAAATATATACAGAATAAAATATCTCAATACCAAATCATACAGATGTTGAATGAAGAATGGATCAAATTCCACATTGTTTTTTCCTATTTACTCCTTTCCTATTTACATATTACTCTTTCTGATAGGTTCTGATTAGCATACAATCTATTAAGCCAGAAATGAGGTTTAGATAATTTTCTTAATGAACTGTCTGAATATGGGACACACTACTTTTTTAGAGGAAAAGAAGAGGGTTTATTGTAATAGAATCTCTTTTGTGGGCATAGGTTTTGTGCTTAACCAGCACTTGATTGATTGATTGATTGATTGACTGATAAATGATTGGTTGTACTACAGTAACATCAGTTTGAAAGCTTTGTTGTCATATCTAGCCATGAGACATTACAGATACTTAAATGTTCTTTTCTCACCTTGACCCATGGAAAATTTTATTTAACTTATAAATGTGGATCCCTGAATTATATATAAAAGAGCACCTGCATATAATAGGCAAAGTTTATATCCGCACATAATAGCAATTTAATAATATGAAAAATAGATAAGAAACGTATTTCAGTATATGGAAATAAGCAATAGATGACTAAAAGTTTTCTGTATTCCCAAGTTTGTAAATTGCTTAAGGAAGTGACATGAACCTTTTTGTATTTAATAAATCTGTCCTCTGGGTCTCTTTAAACTGTTACGCACTGAACTTCTATACTATTTTAATTTTAATGATTTTGACCAGAGATGTTTATTTAGGTACATAGATTTATGAGTGATACATTTATGTGTGAAAAAATTATGTAAACATTGTGGCCTATTTCATAATAATTTCTACTTTGCTCATCATGTCAGTTGATATAATAAAAAGCATAGGCTGATATGCAGCTTAAATTAGAGTGTCTTCTCTTGGGGTTAGAAAGTTAATTATGCAGTTAATTGGAAAATGTATTACAATGGAGGTAATCTTGTGTTATTCCCAGTGGTCTATTTTTTTTAAATAAAGATTCACATTGTGTTTGTAATCTGACATCACAATGATGGTGTATTGAACTCCAATAAATATATGTTGCATTTGACAAAACATTGAAAAGATATACAACTAGTACTAAATTATTTTCTATAAGTGATATTCATCTTGAAAATGATGTTGCACTAACAAGTACAGGATGAATTCACAATGTGAGAGTGTTTGGGGATTTCCCATAGAATAGCAGGTAAGCTTTAGACAACAGATATAGATGAGCGAGCTAAAGTCTAAATTCATAACTTTGATTAATTCTGGGCATAATATGCAAAGAAAGCATGTGATCATCATGACTGGAACCTGAACACAGGCTTGGAAGGCATCTTCATCTTCTCCTAATCTGATCTTCCACTTAGACAAATAGCCCTTCTACAGTATCCCTAACGAACATTCATCCAGATCGTGGTGAAGTTCTTTAGGCATGAAGAACTTCTCCACTGGATTTGATTAGTTAATGCTTAATAAAAAATATCCTTTCTTACGGTGGGTCCAGTGCTGTCCCTTAATAGCTCTTAATCATTCTTGTTTTCGGCTGCTATGGTTAAATAATTCATCATATATTTGAAGACAGCTGTCAAGTCACTCTCTCATGTTGAAGTGCCCGTGGTATTTTTAAGCATTCTTTATATCTTTTGGGTTTTCAGATATCCTAGCTTTTCTGGTTCTTGCCTTCTATTGAAGATAATCTAATTTGTTAATTAGAGGCTTGTCTTTTTCTTTTCTTTCTCGCCCTCCTTGTTTCAATGATCTGTGGCAGAGAGTACTTGTTGCCTATTAAAATTCATTTTTTTTCTTTACTAACAGAAGGCTAGTTTTATTGAAGACAAATCCAATAAAAATTCACACTCCTTAGCTCTATGAGATGCCATTCTCGTATCTTCTGGCCAATCACATATAAGTAGAAAATGTTGGATATATTCTCCCTGAAAATACCTTTGCAGGGGAATTGACTCACATTGATGGACCTTTTCTTTTTACCCTTTTTTTTCTGACTGTAATTCAGAAAAAAGAGATGGGTCCATCATCTTGTCTTAATGAGGCAACAAGCCCTTGCTTAAGAGTGGCCGAACAGGAATATTGAAG